AGAAATACTCCCTCCGTCCCAAATTATTTGCTTCATTTGTATTCTCGAGGCAAAATATTAAGTTTTTTCAATTTATTTTATTTTCATATTGGTATAAAAATTAAAAATAAAATTTACATATAAAAAAATTACATGAAAAGCTCTTCGAAATAAGAGGTGTTAAGAATATTTTATTTTATCAAATAACCAATGAAAACGTCGAAATAAACAAAAGTTCCCGCGACTGCTGAAAAAGCAAATGTTGTGAATATTTAGGGACGAAGGGAGTATTTGCACTAAATAACACTAAAACATAAGTGATTTTCCTAAATAGCACTTATATTGTTTTATTCTCTAAATAACACTTGATAATGTCCATAATGTCCAGTGATAATGAACATTTACTTGAATAATGACTAACGGATAATGACTAAAAGTGTTATATTGGGAAAAATACACATGTGATACTATTTATATAGGGAAAATCATTATGTTTAGTACTATTTACATAAATTCCCCACCCTTTAGAAAAACTTGGCAAAAATGATGATTTTCACTCCCCTCTTATACCATGTGTTATGGCGGGGCTTGATCATTTGAATGGGCCGCGGTATGATGTGGAATGATACGGAGTATTAGTAAGTGTGTTATGATGGGTGTGAAGAGAGCTGATGAGATATGAATACGGAGTATATGTTAAATTTGAGTTTTTTGTGGCATTTACATCTGAACTTTTAAAAAATGGTATAGATTCACCCAAATTTTATATATTGCACCAATGCCCCCTAAACTTTTAAATATATTGCACGAAGAGTCCCTCTGCGCCATACTTGAGAGTGCGTTAATCACACGCGCATCAATATACATCTTGTAGCTTGATTGATTGATGACAAGCTTTGTCTATTGATGTCTGGCCTTCAAATTTGTTTACAAACGACTAAATCGAGAATAATCATCTAGGATTTAAAGAGGTTAAAACATAGAAAATAATATTTGGGAAGGACACATTGCAGAACTCACGTGTGATATATTATGACTTTAGATAAATTCATACTTGCAGTGGAGATGTGTGATAAACACACTCCTAAATCTAGCACAAAGGGATCATTAGTGCAACATTTTTTAAATTTAGAGGTATTGGTGTAATTTTTAAAATTCAGGAGGATTCGAGCAATTTTAAAAAAATTTAGAAGTATATGGTGCAAAAAACTCTGTTAAATTTTAATTAGTTGAAATATAATAAAAAAGAAAAAAAATAGTGATGGAGGGTGAAGCTAGCCTTAGTGGTGGTCAAGTAATGTGGGTCAATACCCCCTTCAATTCATGGTTGATATGTAATGGGGGCCAGAAATAATGGAGAGTGATCAAACACCTCCTCACGCTCCATAACAAACGATCTTAAACCTCCAATTAAATCCCTATCTAGCCCCCTTCTCCTCACCCCAGCCCACTCTCTCCTCTAGCAGAGGAGGTTAGACTAGGAGATAAGGACTCTGGTGGAATTTGAGTGGGAGATTAGAGTGTTGATGACATTTTTGGATCACTTAATTCTTTTCTAGGGTCAAAAGAATCGTGGTGTGCCAATAATGTGAATATATGATACTAAATAACATTGCGAAATGTCAATATATAGTCTCACAATCTCGCAGTACAAACTCATGTTTCGGAGATAAAGTATAAAACTTTTATTTTGTAAATAATGATTATGTTCTACTTCTGTTTTGGATGATATTTTTTTTGTAAAATGAAAAGTGAATTGTTGAGATTTATGTTGAAAAACAAATTTGACAACTTAAATAATAAAATTCTAAAACGAAAAAAACGAAAAATTAATTTAGAGTGGAAAAAAATATATTTTTCACCATGTTCTAAAAAGTAGCACATGTTTTCATCTCATTCTATAAATAGTCTCTTATTTCCTCAAAAAATTAAAAAAAATACATGGGCAATATAATAGAATATTTTTTAGTCTTCGATACACATTTCTAAGAAATTATATTCGCGGTCCTCAATATTTAGAAATTATTCCATAAGAGCATCCCTAATGAGAGTGAATATGGAGGGAAATAGTCTATGTGGCAATATAGAATAGTTGGAGAGAGGATAGGAGAAAGTGAGGGGGTGTGGTTGGAAAGGAAATACTAATATGCATCTATCTAAAAGAGAAAGTTTCTGATTGGTTGAAAGTGTTAGAATATAAGAAAAGTTTTTGAGACACATAATAAGTTTGAACTTTTGGTTGAGTTGATTTCTTGACATGGTATTAGAGTCTTTTTGACTAAGAGGGCACGTGCGAGTTCGAAATTCAGTGCCACACAATTTGAAAAATTAAATTTTCACGTTCAAAGCTCAAAAAAGACTACACATATACGTAAATTCTATCAATGGCACACCAACTTTTAGCAATATTTCATTTCAATACAAAAATTTTACTTTCCATCGTAAAAATACATCAACTTTCAGCTCTATTTCACCAATAAACCATCAACTTTTAGGCCAAATTGTAATTTGCAAATTTTAGGCCAAATGGTAATTTGCAAATTTTAGGCCAAATACATCGTAAAAATACATCAACTTTTAGGCCAAATTGTAATTTGCAAATTTTTTAATTTAACCTCATTTTCTCATTATTCTCACATGACCCCCTCCTCTTATTCTTCACCACCCCTTTCATTATTATTATTATTATTATTATTATTATTATTATTATTACTCCATATTATTATTATTATTATTGTTGTTGTTGTTGTTATAATAATAATATTATTATTAATAAAATAACAATAATAATGATATATAGTACTCCCTCCGTTCTCAAAAACACTTCAGCTTTCATTTTTTTCACTTCCAACAAAACACTTCCACTTTCTATTAAGAAACCACTTTTACCCTTACTTTTTCATACCCTACCTATCACATCATACTTTTTCTCTAATAATCTATTAATCACATCTTACTTTTACTCATCACATCAAGGGCAAAATTGAAAGTCAACTACAATTTAACACTTTCTTATTTTCCCACTTTTTCAAAGTAGGAACTCTTTTTGAGAACGGAGGGATCGGAGTATAATAATAATAATAATTACAAAAACAACACCAACAATAATAATACTCCGTAATAAAGAAAATTAAAGAGGGAATGGTGAAGAAAAAGAGGGAGGGAGGGGGATCTAGTGAAAAAAGCAAAATGAAATGGAGTCAAATTCAGAGCACTGGAAATGGTCATGAAGCTCCGGGGCTTCAAACTCTCTCTCTCTCTGCCACGTCAGCTTTAACTTACACCAATAATTCACTGGAAATGGTTTTGAAGCCCCAGGACTTCAAACTGGGGCTTCAAACCTTCATTTTTTACATTTTTAAATATACATCTTCTAAATTTAAATTAATAAATTTAAATTAATTTATTATTTTAATTAATCGCAATGACACTAGTGCATTAAAAAAAATTAAATTCATTATAAAAAAACTTACATTCATAACAAAATATTCAAAAAAAATTACATTCATTAAAAAAAATATTACAACCAAAAAAACAACAGTACAAAGAAATCACTAAATATTTATAATAAATAATAAATATTTTAGTGAGAATATAAAGAGAGATGTGTGAGAGAGAGGTGTGAGAGAGATGTATGAGAAAGGGGGATTTTATAGTTTTTTTTTTTAAATTTAGAATTTATTTTTTAATTTGGGGGGGGGGGGGTAACGGCTATATAGCCGTTGGGGGGAGGTTACGGCTAAATGGGGAGGGATGCTGCGCGTCAAACGAATGAGGGAGATGAACTCACGCCCGTGTCACGCCGAGGGGGGGCGGTGTTTAACGCCCCCAATATCACGCCGGTGAGCGTGAGGGGTATTACCGCTGCTCTCAAGAAGGAAAAATACATGAATTATACTCCCTCCGTTCTACAAAACCCTTTCCCTTTCGTTTTTTTTGAATTCCCTAAAATACTTCTACTTTCTATTAAAAAAACCACTTTTACCCTTACTTTTTTATACCCTACCTATCACATCATATTTTTTCACTAATAACCAAACTATCACATCTTACTTTTACCCATCACATCAGGGGCAAAATTGGAAAGTCAAAACAAAATTACACTTTCCTTATTTTTGCCAAAAGTCAAAAGTGGAAGGATTTAAAAGAACAGAGAGTATATAAATTAGTCCCATGTGACGTGCTTGTCATCTTGAAACCTGTTATTTGTCTCTTGGTAAAGTATATTGAAAGTTGATGTTGTTTTATGTTTATGTACTGAATTGAAATAATACTAAAAATTTGTCTACTATTCTCAAACAAAAATTATTACTAGAATTTTGGAACAGAAAGGAAGCCAAAAAAAATCGGAGGAAGAGCTAATATTTTTCTATAATTATGGAAGGGCGGCATTGAAGTACGCAGGGGAGTGCTCTAAAGAGGCATGTCTCATTAGGCCATATTCTCTTTACCTAATCTAACTGGTTCTGATCTAATTTGATCTGATTTGATTTAATTGTAGATATATTTAAAGCTCTTTCTGATTTAATCTCGTTTGATCTGATTTGATTCAAATAAGAATAAGTAATAAGTAAAAAACTAAAATGGATAGAAGCATAATAAATACAATTATCTAAATACAATTTAAATAAATAAATATTATAAATATTTGATTTATCAAATAAGAAGTTCCGACGACACTGGCTTTTAGTGTCATCAAATTAAATGACCCTCGCTCCAACTGAAGCATGGGGCAGTTCTCTGTTCGTAATAAAATTCAGGGCTCCAATTGAAGTCTGCTCAACATAATGTTTATTCTGAAACATCGTAGCATTCGTTTCTGAAACATGTTCATTCCGAAGCAACGTAGTAATTCTGAAACAACGTAACGTTCATTATGAAATATTTTTTAAATTACAAGTTTGCCAAAGAAAAATACATTCAGGTCTACCAAATATGATTTGCTGCTTACACCTCTCCCTACTCGTCCTAGCTAGCTATATAAACTTTTATAAATAACCTTGTTTGGTTCCCACTAATTCTTACCGTCCTACCAATATACTACTCCGGGGTATAACTTTGATAATTAGACTAAAAACTACTAATAAGAATGCCAGAAACCCGATGCAGGTTCGCCGTAAATTTAACTACCTTTACCCTGCCTTTGGTTCTTGATTTCATCCTCATCTGCATCTACTATTGGGCATACAACTCGTGTGTCAAAATTAAAGATGTCCAGGTCCCATTGCAGATTGGGGGATTCCTTTTGTCAGTAATGGGCGGGTTTAGCCTCCTAACATTCTGTAAGAGAAAGAGCATTGAATGTGGAGCTTGTAGCTTCTGTTCATACATTGTATTCGCCGTTATTTTCTTCGTGGTCGTTTTTTTCTCACTCAATTACGGCTTCAACACCGGCCTCTCTGGCTCCTCCTTTGACCGGGCGGAGCCGTACGGGTCTCACCCCCGCCTCGATCACTTCCCCCAAGCGTTTCGGGATAAAGTTAGTGGCGCCGAAGAGTGGGATCACATCATAGCTTGCCTCGCTCCTTCTATCGGCTGTGATCGCTTGAATCGAACTTACACTTCCCCTCAACAACTCTCCTCAGCACATCTCAACCCATTGCAGGTGCGTATAATATACTCCCTCCATCCTATAATGATCTTCCCGGTTCGCAAAACGAAGAAAAATCCCAAATTTTTTCAATCTATTTTATTTAAATATTGGTATAGAAATAAAAAATAAAACATACATATTTAAAAACTACATCAAAAGTTCAACAAAACAAGTGGTGACAAGAATATTTTATTTTATCATATAGGCCATGAAAAAACACAAATAAATATAAATTCCCGTGAAGTTGGAATAGTGCTCTGGGAAGATCATTATAGGACGGAGGGAGTATGATTCCTCTTTACTCACTCAACTCCTAAAAAAAAGGTTAGTTGAAGCCTTTAAGGTGCCTTTTTATTCTTCAAAAAGAAAAAGAGTAAATTTTCAAAATTGTTTTCTGGAATGATGTGTGTTATATATTTTAGTGTAATTGGAAAAACTATGACCAATGGTATCATAATAATCATCAACGAAGTTTGGTGGTGCAGAGTGCACGCTTCATTGAGTTTGTTACGATAAAAATCCCGTTACATCGGGGGTTCCAAGGGGGCAGCGCCCCCTTGGCGGGGGTTCGGGGGCAGCGCCCCCGAGCAGGGTTCAAGGGGCGGCAGCCCCTGCGGGGTCCAAGGCGCTATTTTGGGCAAGGCGCTATGTTAAAAAATTCAATTGGAATTTTAATTTTCGGATTTTCTTTAAAAGAAAACCTTCGATTGGATAGCACCGAATTTTGGAGAACTTCCGCGCGAAGGATCGCGTAACTTGGAAAAGAGACGCGATAGGCGTCTTCTCCCTCTGCCGCAAGTTTATAAATTCCCGCAGGCCTTGGTCGGATTTGAGTTCGGATTTTTCATAGCAATCCTCATATTTCGTTCTTGATACTTTCGAGTTTTATCCGATTGAATTTTGGAGTAAACAACCAAAATATTCAATCTGAAAGTGTTTACACAACTCTCGATTCATCCAAGTTATCATTAATTTCGCCAACAATGTGTTTTTCCAAAGCAATTCTCAATAAGTTTTGATTGACTACGTGATCCTCTACAATGATTGAGATTTATTCTCTAGGTAATCTTTGGTAAATAATGTTACTCAAATGATGCTTAATTAGAGATATTTTGATTTTTTTCCAACTAAATTTAGATTAAGTTCTTAAAATGATCATTTTTAATGAAGTCCTTCCCAAAATAGTTTTTTCTAATTAAAGATGTGTATTTGATTCGAATTTTAAATTTTTTTTAAAGATTTTTAATAATTGATGGATTTTGTATAGTCAATGTATTGTTTTAATTTCACATGTAATTATATAGAAATGACTATTTCTGAGGATATATTTTAAATTTAGATGATAGAAATACTAAAATACCCTTCAATTAGTCATTATTTGAGTAACATTATTTACAAACGACTATCTAAAAAATAAATCTCAATTATCAAGGACTACGTAGGTAATTAATTAGAACTTATTGAAGACTTAATTAGAAAAATACCTTATTACAAAGAACCATTTTGAAAATTTACTCAAAAAAGTTCAAGAAGGGACATTATTCTTATGCAATTAGACCTTTTGAAATTAAAATAACACGGGACACCTACGATGTTCAATTAGTAAAATTGATAATCCCTACCCAGCATCTACCTTGTCATTTATAGACTTTTTTTATACTCGTAATATTTTTATGTGCTAAAAGTGGTAAGTATTTTCCATTTACATGGTAAAAGAATTAAATCATCTAAGTTAATCTCAAATCCTTTGGTAGTTCAACCGAGACAATACATAAAACCGACACTCCTCAAATTCACGTAATTTAAGATCTTGTGTATAGGCATTAACAATATCTTTAGCATTATCATCTTCGTCTTCATCACCTAGAACACTTATAAAGATCATCAACAATGTCCCCCACAGATTCATGGTCATTAAAGTTGGCACAGTGGTCGTAGGGGAAAACTTAGTGGACATAGCAGAATGCCAGTAAAGTTATTTATAGTGCACATCATGTTGTTTTGAATTCTTCTAACTTAAATAGAATTTTATTTGGCACAAATAGGGAACCACAAACAAAGTCTTGTACTGAACAAAAAATTTCTAAATTGAACGCATATAAGTTAGAAGGATGGTGCTAGGGGAACCCCAAACATTTCACACTAAGTACACACCAAGAAAAACACAAACACATAGAGATACTCAATGTTTATGAACAAAAGTTGAGAGTGTTTGTGTGTTTATGAACAAAAGCATTGCATGGTGTGCAATGCTTCGGGCCCCCAAATATTTTTAAAGTTAGAATTATAATATACTCCGTAGTTGACTTACGATATGACACAATGATAAGAGCTTCTTCATAAATTTGTCCACGTGACCATAAGTTCACATACTCCTTCATCAAACTCGATTTTTTGATATAGAACATTTTCCATCAAATCAAGAAGTTTGTCCAATGTAGATTTCATGGTCCAAATAAAAACTGCTACTCGTGTGGACATGTTCGCGATAAATTTGTATGCTGCAATTACTTTTCTTCTTCACTTTTTTGGTGGGTCTGTTAGAAAGTTATAACGCTATGAAGCAGCTTTACAAATTGGTATACAAAGAAAGTGAAAAAGAATTGATAGATTTTAGAAAATCGTGTATAAATGCTTTTAGTTAAAGTGATTTTGGGGTATATCAAAATACTTCAATCGGATAAGACGTAAGTAATATAGAACGAGTATGAAAGTTCTAGTTGTCTCGATACATACCCTGGAGCCATATTTATAGGCGAATTCTGAACGGGCGTATTGGTTTATGAAAAAACAAAACATTCAGGTAACATTCGAATTTTCCAACTAAAACATTCGAATGTTTATGGCAGTTGAGACAAACGGTTATTTTTGTAGTTTTGTGCGAACTATTGCAACTTACTGCGAAACATTTGAATGTTTGGTATCAAACATTCAAATGTATCGAGTCTCTCTCTCTGTGTGTGTATATATGGCTTTTTATTCATCAAATCTCCACTTGAGTATTATCTATGACTTCAATTGATTACAACTGGTTGCAGTCTCAATGTTGTATGCCACCGTCACAATGTGGGCTATCGTTTGTGAGCCCAACATATTGGGAATTCTCAACTACCAATCAGACATATGTTGATGCTGACTGTACAACTTGGAATAACGACCAAACAAAACTATGCTACCGTTGTGATTCTTGCAAAGAAAGAGTACTTGCTGAAATCAAGAACAAATGGCGAATTGCATTCATTCTCTTGCTTACGACCTATCTCATATTGATTCCTATTAGTATATATAACTGTAAGTGTAGTAAAATTCTCGAAGATTGATTGACTATGTACTTTTGTTTTCAAATATGTTTTTTAATTGGAAGTGCTATGTTTATTGACCAAGCTGTCCAAACATAATACAATCACAACGGACAGATTTCACATTATACTTTATAATTTTAATGGTCTTCTCATCCTTGACTAGCAAAGGTTCAAGTACTGTACTTCCTCTGTCTTAGAATTACACTTGATATGAAAACATGGTCGTCTTGTGGTCGCTATGAAGGGTCGGCCCTATCCATTGCCCCTGCTAGATTGACCAGAAGCAACATGCTAACTTTTGGTGGCTAGAAAGGCGACAGGTGGGGCATTGACATCTACAATAGTATCTGTCCTACGTTGTCCCAAAGGATTCTGAGACGCTAGGACGAACAATCGGGTTAAATGGGCCACATGTCTTTAGGTATGTATTCTATGCAGACAGCTGGGCTAAAGACTAGTGCTTTTAGGATTAGACGCCTAGACACACACCTTTAACAAATGAGTTGGGCCAAAACCTGCAGCTTCAGTACCAACATAGAATTTAGGATGAGATAGAGATCATTGAACGCCCCAAGAAACTTGGGTTGAAGTACATTAAAAGATTAATTAAATCAAATACTTAGTTCAACTCAAGAACTTATATACCAATTATTTTTCTCTTCATATTTCAATGTGAGATACTCTAACAACTTACTAACACTATATTTGGTTCAAGGAATCTAAAAAGAAAAGAAAAAAAATATTTTCTCTTAATTTTCTCACAAAATTGGAGGAATTGGTTTTCCCTCCTCTCAGTACATTTTCTATATAATTTTCTTTTTCATCCATTTTTCTTTTCTTCTTTAACCAAACATGAAAAATCATTTTTCTCTCATCTTCGTTTCTTTTTTCTTTCAAATTAAAGGGATTTGGGGGTGAATTCGGGCCAGAGCGGGGTAGGAGAGTTTATCGGAGGAATTAGTGGGGTAGGAACTATCAATTTTATAAATGAAGTATCATACATGCTTCAATTCGAGCCGGTGTCATTCGTTGAGATGTGAATTTTAATTCACCCCAACCCCTTGATTCTATTAGTTTTGTTGATCTTTAAACGTACTCCCTTCGCCCCTCTTGAATTTTTTCATTTGTTTTGTCACGGTCTTTAATGTAGCATTTTGACCATCAACATCTTTATTTATAAATAGATGTATATTATAACAATGTAATATTTTAAATTATGTTTTAAAATGAACTTATTGATACTAAATTTAGATCGTAATTTAATATATTTTCATAATTTATAGTCTTGTTTTAAAAAAATCAACTTTGAAAGTCAATCTAGGAAGATTCAAAAAGGACGAAGGGAGTATTTAAGTGAAATTTGTACTAAATAGGACTAAAACATAAATCATTTCCCAATGTAGGACTTAAAATTTTTTTATTTCTTAAATAGGACTTAATAATATCTAGTGGGAGAGATAATGTCCAGTAATGATGAATATTTAGTTGAACAATGACTAATTGATAATGGCCAAAAGTCATATTTAAGAAATAAAAACATATAGTACTATACTGAGAAAGTCATTATGTTTTAGTCATATTTAGATAAATTTATCTATTTTTAATTACGTAATTTTTTTAGTTTAATACCAATCTTTAAATAAAATAAATTTAAAAAATTAAAATTTCGCATTGTTTTGCATAAATTGCTAAACATTTTGGGAGGGAGAGACTAGAAAGAATTTAAAACAAAGGCCCGGGAAAACCTAGTGGTCAATGTGGTTCCCGTAGCCTAGTTGTTATTAAAAGCAGTGGGAGTAATACAACTTTGAGCTCTAGAAAACACTTATGGAGAATAAAATTGGGATCCCTTCGATTAGGGTTTACAATAGTATTTATAGCAGCAGTGGGGAGACACTGTACCATGCGCCCATACCTCTGTCATGTGCTAGCTTCATGATATGACTTTGTTCAATAGTCTTTGCACTTCACTCCTTGGATTATAGCATAGTTTTTAAAACCGAATCGGTGATCGAACCGGTCAAGACATTGATTCACTGGTCGACATTTTTAATAAATAGATAAATATATATAAAGAAATAAATAATATATATAGACACATATACATACACACACACGTTGTGGCATTGAATTAAAAAACTAATATATGAGTAAATAAAATAATATTTCCTCTGTTTATAAATAAAGAATTGATGTTGGACTAAATTTATAATTTAACTTAATTTACTTGAGTTGTGTCATTCAACTAAAAAATACGGAGTAGTATTTACTTGTTTAAAAAAGTTTATAAATAAAAAGTGATTTGAATTTTTTTTAAACATTTTACCTAGTATTTAAAAATATATATAAAATATTTGTGTGATATGCACTCCATATCAATTACATCAATGGGTTTTGAATTTTAGTTTTAAAAACTATATATATTTTTAAAGTATTTGATAAAAAATTTTTTTAATAAAGAGCATCTAAAACGAATCGTATAGTGTTGCCACCGAGCATTGTAGCAGAGATGGTTCGTAGTGGCCCCTTTCTCCCGTGCAATCCTGTGTTCGAATTCCAGGCTCTTGTTTTTTAAAAATCTTCAATGAAGAATTAGAAAACCGGTTGGGCAGTAAAAACCGGCCAATTTTCTTCGGTTTACACTGGTTCACCGCGGAATGCGGTTTGATTGCCTAGACTGGACTAGTTTAGGGTCCAATTCTCGGTCCGAATCGGCCGGTCCAATTTTTAAAACTATGGATTATAGTCTCTTGTCTTCTCCCTACACCAATAGTGTCAAAGAGGATGTTTATGAATTTATTCGTTGGTGCATGGAACCTAGTCCGGCTAGGTTACCTCCTTTGGTCAGGCCTGGCCCAATACTACACAATTTCGCAAGCCACTGTTAAGGCCACATTTCTAGTTTGAGCAACCCGTGGGAATTCGATTTGCGTAAATATTTTTAAAATATAATTTTACCTAATTAATATACAATATAAATTTTATTTAATTATAGGTCAAAATTGAAAACTGTTAATCAAATACTCAGGGACAAAAGTAGTATGTTGGTATACTTCAGTGTGCAATTCTTGGTCCCTAACCCTTTTGTTTGGAATAGGTGAGAAAAGGGGAGGAAGGAAAATAGTAGGAAAGAAAATAAAAAAAATGAGAAAGTGATGAGAAATGGAGAGAAAAGTACTATTCTTTGGATGATACTCCGTATAAAAATGATGTGAAAGTAATGAGAAAAAAAGAAAAAAAGAAAGAAAATAAAAAAGTTATAGAATGTTGTTGGTGCATTTTTTCACGTTCTTCCCAGTAATTATTCACATGGTCAAATTTTAATACTTTCTCCGTCCTAAAATGTTCTTTCCACTTATTTTTCACACGGTCAAACTTTAACCATTTCTTTACATATTTTCATTAGCTATTTGATAAAATAATATAGTCTTGTCACCACTTGTTTTGTAGACCTACAATCAAATAAATTGAATTGAAAATAAAGTCGGTCAAACCTCGTAAACACAAACACAAAGAACATTATAGGGCGGAGGGAGTAACTTTCTTTACCTATTTTTATTAGTTATTTGATAAAATAATACTACCTCCGTCCCAGAGTATTTGTCCACTTTCATTTTTACACACCATCCAATGCACTTCTTTAATCCATTTTATCTTGTAATTTGTATATTAAAAAATTATAGAAATTATATATTAATAATCTATATGTTAAGACAAATCAGACAAGATCACACATGACTATATTTAGGCTTACACGTTGAGAGAATTTGATGAGTCAAAGTGCTTAGATGAACAGTTCCAAAAGTCAAAAGTGGACAAACAAAACGGGACGGAGGGAGTATAATCTTGTCACTACTCGTTTTGTAAAACTTTTGATGTACTTTTTAAATATATAAAATTTATTTTTAAATTTTATACCTACAATCAATAAATGAAATTGAAAATAAAATCGGGTAAACCTCGTAAATAAAAATGGAAAAAACTTTTCAGAAGAAAGGAGTATTTTCTTATCATTTTTATTCTTATCCAAACAAGAGAAAATTTATTGATGTGTTTTTTTCACCCCTAATTTTCTTTCCTCTCTTTTTTTCACTATCCAAAGTCCAAACAAAGGCTAAGTAATTCCGATGGAGCCAAAATTTCACCTGTTTTTGGCTTTGGGGTGTGATGGAATAAATCAAAATGGATATCTAAACTATTTGCGCTTCTTTAATTAATGAAGTAGCAGTTAGTCAAGCAATGCAACTTTCGACGTTGAGCCGAGAGTCTCTTTGGAAACAGCCTCTCTACTTTCGAGTAGGGGCAAGGTCTGCGTACACACACCCTCCCCAGACCCTACTCTTGTGAGATTTAACTGGGTTGTTGTTGTTGTTGTTATATTTGTTTTAGGAAGTCAAGTGTACTTTAGCTAGGATGATGGAATCGAATGAGAAGTGGAAGGGAAGGGTATCAGCAAGGCTACAAAAGGCCACCGCCGATCATATCTGGCCACTCTTTCTTGATTTCTTCAGTCTCAACAAATGGTTCCCGGGCCTAGCCGTTTGCCACGGCGTTCACGGCACCAACGGAGAGCCCGGATGCGTCCGCTACTGCGCCGGATTCTCCCTGCCGTCGGAGAGCGGTTGATACGGTATCGTATCGAGATAGGGAAGGTTGAGCACCTTCGAGCTATAGAATCGAGGAAAAGGGGGAGACTGAGAAGGGAGAGGGGAAGACGGCCGTTGATCGGCGAGGAGGAGAGATGGAGTTTAGGGTTAGGAAAATATCTCTTTATTGATTGAATAATAAACTCATGCATAATGGCTACATATATAGATGGTTGATCTAAAGAGTTCTAGCCATAAAAGGTAACTAAATAAATTAAAATACTAATAACCTAATATAATACTTCCTAATAATAATATAATTATCTAACCATAAATAATAAAACTACCTATAATAATAATAGTAATATAATAATAATGGTAAATAAGTAAATATAAACCCATATTACTCTTCTCGCCTTGAAAACCAGCTTGTCCTCAAGTAGGAAATCAAATAAAGAACAGAAAAAAATTACACCGTTCATCGTCCATCCTCCGGGGTCAAACACCTTGATCCTTGGAGCACCAAAAGAATGTGTGGGACCCAAAGCACCGTCAGTATGAATAAAACTGCTCTATGTAACCAACGGTTGGAAAACGATGTCCTCTTGCGTAAAACATTTAGAACCACAAAAGACAATAACCTCAATAGCTTTCGTCTCAAATTTCTTTGTGCATCCAGAAAAAATCACATTGTTGCCCGGTGAAACTTTCTTCCGGATAGAGAGGCTTCGCAAATGGTTGTCCCCATAAACACCATTTGTAGGGACACGATCTGTCACAATCAGAAGAACACCATCGGGGCACTGTTCTGATAGGCACTCGAACTTGTAAGTTGACTCAACATCTCTAGCTCTAGCACAAGCACTAGTATCCATGACATCAAACCCACTTTTCATGTCATCCTCGACGCGTGGCTCGGCGCTTGAATTTTCTACAATAGGACCAATGTCTTCCACGATCTGAACAATCATGTCCCCAGCCTTAGGGGCTACATTTGGTGGAGAAAGTGGAGCACCGATGAGTGTCCTTATCGCGCTCAACATATTTGTTTTGAACAAGTGTAACTCTATCGGGATCAAACTTGGTAAAATTAGGGGATCACGAACTAAATCCTGGATTGAGCAAGAGGCCTCTACGACGAACGCATATAGTTCAGAGTCATATTTTGGTAGGCCTTCAATATGACGCAATGACTGAAGTTTCTTTGTAAGTTCATTAACAGAATCTTCAACTCTAGACACTCCTTCGTAAAACTCAATTTTTCCATATAAAACATTCCCCATTATAGACAGAAGATTATCCACCTCCGCATTATATGCATCAATCGAAGTCGTTGCCGTGCAATTTCTAAACATAATTGATTGATGAATGTGTTGACAACCCAACATTGTAATTAGCAGCACCAAACAAAATCAACAAAAAGAACCAAACTGGATTGACAAACTTACTGGTAAAGGGGTTTGCAGCAGTACACTTCAATTTGATCAATCAAGCAAATTTGGCTGGACGGAGGGCGGCAATTTTGGCTGGCGATAGATGAAGGGGCGATGGAGTTTTGTTTAAATATGGAATCTGCTTCTTTTGTGCGGCAATTGAACCAAAGGGTATCTCTATTCTGCAACTTTTTTTTCTTCCGGAAATAGCTATCATATGGATAAATTTCGGCTACTTTGTTTGTTCAAAACCAAATTGGAACGGCTGTGGCAAATCTGGTGCACCTACAGCGGCGATGGCACAAATTTGTGGCTTTGTTGTTGGAGCTGAGATTCCTCTTCAATGCTGATGCCAATTTATATTTTTTTTTGGTTTTTTTGGGTGAGTTCAACAATGAAAGCACCAATTGATACGGTATCGTATCGAGATATGGAAGGTTGAGCACCTTCGAGCTATAGAATCGAGGAAAATGGGGAGACTGAGAAGGGAGAGGGGAAGACGGTCGTTGATCGGCGAGGAGAGATGGAGTTTAGGGTTAGGAAAATATCTCTTTATTGATTGAATAATAAACTCATGCATAATGGCTACATATATAGATGGTTGATCTAAAGAGTTCTAGCCATAAAAGGTAACTAAATAAATTAAAATACTAATAACCTAATATAATATTACTTCCTAATAATAATTTAATTATCTAACCATAAATAATAAAACTACCTATAATAATAATAGTAATATAATAATAATGGTAAATAACTAAATATAAACCCGTATTAGCGGTGCCGGCGCCACCACCAGTTGGTCCAAAGAAACCCTGACGGCGGTCGATCTCGTCAATCGGAGCCTTTGCTATGCCATTGTGGACTCCAACAGCGGGTTTGAATCTTATAGTTCGACGGTCAAGATTGTTCCCGACAACGGCGGCGGTGGAGGGTGCGCGATCGAGTGGTGGTTCGAGGTGGATCCGGTGGAGGGTTGGCGGCTTGAGGACCTGGTGAAGAAATATGAATTTGGGCTTCAACTCATGGCTAAGAAGATGGAGGATTCTATTGAAGTTTCTGAGTTATGCTCTTCTGAGTCATCACCCTTGTAATGGTATGTAAACTTTCTCATTGTAGACTATTGGTGACTCTCCATCTTCATCTTCTCGTCTGGTTCAATCCCCCCCTCATCTTCTCTACCGTCTCAGATCTCTCGTCGAGCCATGGTTCCTTCAGATTTTTGTAGATCGTTCGGCGATGTATCAGTAGACTGGATCTGAGATTACTTTGTTGAGATCTCAATTTCTAGTCAATTTATGAGATTTATTAAATCAAGTATTTTTAAAATATTACTTTATCTAATTAATATACGGCATATATTTCATTTAATTATAGTTCAAAGATTGAAAACGGTTGACCGAGACAAGCCAAAACAAGACAAATTTCCAATTCTAACAAAAAAAGTTATCGTAAGAAAGGGTAGTAGACTATTGGTTTTATACTTGGGAATTTCTTCGGTGCCCAAACAAATAAGAGGGCATCTATGCCCATCCACTTAATTATTGCCATGTGTATTAATAGTGATGAGAAATAATTAAAATTGTCCACCTCATTTCAATTGTCTGAAATTGCAAATACCTCTGTTGATTCTGAGAAAACATTAAAATTTACTCAAGGAATAAAGAAGGGTACATGATGATTTATATGGACAGAGATCCTGACATGATTAAGATTCCTCTAATATGGTTACTGACTAATATGCTAACATTACCATAAATGTAAATATTACTATAGTTGTCTAATATCCTGTGAGGAAGCTTGGAAACCAAACATGTATAGCTTGGTGACGGCTGGGCTTGGGTGAGGAGATCAGCAAGCTGCTCTGTGGACGGCACATATGAAACAATCATCTGTTCTGTAATTATATGTTTATGTACAAAGTGAAAGTCAGTACCCTCATGCTTCATGCATTTGTGAAATACCAAATTCTTGGTTAGATAAATAGCAAACTCGTTATCACAGTAGAAGTGCGACGGAGAAAGCTTAATCTTCAAAATGTCAAACAAAAATGAGAGCCACATGACTTCAGCGGCTGCAGCGGAGAAGGCACAATTTTCGGTCTCGGTTGAAGAACGAGAGACACGACTTTGCTTTTTCGTGGTCTAGGAAATTAGATTCGAGCCAAAATAGACCAAATAACCTGTAATGGAGCGCCCATCCGTCATATCATTTGCCGAATCAGAATCAGAGTAGGCTTGTACGTCAAAATATCAATCCCCGGTCAAGTGTGCCTTTAACATAGCGTAGAATATGCTTCAAGGAATGGAGGTCCTGCTCTGTAGGGGCATGCATACACAAAGAAACATGATTTACAGCAAACTGAATGTCCGGCCTGTTGTTTGTCAAATACTGAAGCAAACCAACTAAACTCCAAAAGAAAGTAGGGTTCTCAAACGGACGGTCCGCCCCTTCCTCAGTCATCCGAATCGGAATGGGAGTCAGAGATGGCTTACAGTCCTCGACGCTAGCCTTGTGAAGCAATTTTCGGGCATATTTTTCTTGAGACACGATAAGATAATCCTTCATACGTTTGACCTCAAGGCCTAAAAAGTAGTGGAGTGGGCCTAGGTCCTTCATCTAAAATTCCTGTTGCATGGCCTGTATGAATGCGGTGATAAGAGAGGAATCACTTTCAGTAACAATAATGTCATCAACATGTAACAAAACGATAAGAACACCACAAGCAGAGTGCTTCACGAAAAAACAGGTGTCATGCTCATTTTCCCAAAACCATACTCATTGAGAAAACCCGAGAGTCGCTAGTACCAGGTCCATGGAGTCTGTTTAAGGCCATATAAGGACTTCTTCAACTAGACACATAATGAGGATACTTCTGATCAACATATCCAGGAGGCTTCTTTATATAAATCTTGTCAAGAACCACACCATGAAGAAAGGCATTAGATACATCTAACTAATGCAACGGTCATTTTCAGTAATTTTCTCATACCCTGAATCTGCTTTAATTTGTGAATAAGATTGTTGAATTTTTTTTAACCATTTGAAATCCAAGTTTTATCTTCTTACAAGTAGTTATTTTTCTCTTCTTTGAGAGTTGGCAATAGTTTGCTTCTTCTTATGTGAAAATTGAAATTCGAGCTTCTAAAAGTTCATTTTTCCCTTTGAAATTGTGGGTAGTCTTGAATTTGGCAATGGTGTAATTTGATATAACCATATTTACGAAAAATGGCATAAGTATATTAAAACTTAACTAGATAGTAGATCATTTTTTATAATGGAGGGAATATGTTTTCTGTTTCATTGTTTGTTTGATCGCTTGTGTCTTAAGGATTAATGTAACATTAAGTTTTTGAGCTTTTTCATGCTAACAAATAACCTAAGGAGTCCCAAAGTGTTGATCTTGATTCTAGTAAAAAAAACTCCAGTTATGAGCTTAACATGTTATTCCTTCTTTGATGAGCTTTTTCAACTTTTCTGTTTGAAGAGTCTTTTTATTTAAATCTGTTATTGGTAAAATAGTATTCTTTTCTTGACTAAAGTTGATATTGTGAAGTACCTCATAGTAAAAAAAATTGTGGGCTATATTGTTTAAATGTTTCAACCTTTTTTTTTAACTTTTTCCTATTCTTATTAACAACACATGTTTGATTCCTGTTTTATTTTGAGTTGTCTATTCATAGTTTTTATCATTGTCATGTATTGTGTGTATTAAGCTGATTACTCTAATTAAAAATAGCATTAAGAAAATTAAAGAATAAAAATAAAGAGAATAGTGATG